GAGAGAGAGAGAGAGAGAGAGAGAGAGAGAGAGAGAGAGAGAGAGAGAATATTCGTCAACAATTGCACTGCTTTCAGCGGAGTAGTCAAGAACGTAAACTGCACGAACGGCCCAAGAATTAGAGCAGGTGTGCATACCGCTGCAAATTCCAAAAACCAAGAGAAACGTACGTATAGTGGTGACTCAAGAAGGGGGAAAATTCGATCGTAAGTCTCGCTGCCACATGCACTCGCTTATCAAACAGCCACTATTTTGAAACCATGAGGTGAGATGCGGTACAGTGCTTGGGACGCCGCGGTTTGACCTCCATAGGCCTCCTTTTCGGGACTAGAAGAGCAACAACTTAGAGCTGCCTGCGGTTTCGCTTGCAGCCGACTTCTGCTCATCAGCAGTCCATTGGGTTCCAGCCGAGGGTCGTGCATAACGCGATTGTACTTCGCCTTGTCAGCACAAGCGCGCATTTGTAAAGATCTAGACGGTATGAGACCGACGAAAAACGCTATTACATTGTCCCTGCACATCGAGAACATCAATCGCTACAATTCGAGGGTGAAATGGTTCCCTGGAAATTCGTGGACAGATGTGAGACTGACTCTTTTTGACTCTTGAGGCTTTGTGCGTATGGTTAAGATGTGCATGTGCATACAACAGGATTCTAACCTCATCTTTCTTGAACTTTTCCAGCGGTGGATCAGCCAGGGCCGCGAGCGGTAGCGCTAGAGCAGTCACACCCCCGAATAATCCACTGAGGAATTTTTGCCGCGACTCCGGCACCCCGCCTTGCTGTTCCGTCGGACTGATTGCGCAAGGAACACAGCAGCAGCAGCAGTCAGCCAATTCAAAAAATAATTTTGGCCTGGTACAGTTAGTTTCGCTCTGTTGTGCTCTATTCTTGCGCTATGTTACGATTATCTGGGCCATCGTCGAGGCAAAGTTTGTTCCATTGTCCCTTTAAAGACCTCTTGGGTATCCAGCAACTTCAGAGCGGATAGTGGACAGTGTTGATCACTCCTAGAGTCAGAGTGTTTGCCGGGTATGCCCGTTTTTGTGTACAGTGACTAGAGAGTCTCGTTGATAGCTTGTATGAGATCCAGCAGAACAAACGCACGACAGACAGAGGAGAAAGAGAGTGCCCTACACAGGCTGACGCAGCATAGGGGCACCGCGGACTCATCCAAGTCTACCACAACAGGTACCACCGTAGTTCTCCCTTCATCTACGGAAGACAGAACCGTCCTCAGATCAACCCTACATGTGCACACACACGAACACCCTCCCTGGTTCCTTACGCTAGTAATTAACCACCACCTTGCGTTGCTCAACGTACTCGGACACTACCGAAAAATCAAGCAGAAAAAAGGCGTTGCAAGGGAAAACCCGGCCTCCGAGCCAAAAACCCTCGCAATGATTCCACGACTACCAAAATAAAACATCATCGTTGTCATCTCAACTACTCCAATTCCCTACAAACGAAGGCCAAATACAGCGCTACGTTGGCATTTCAACTACTTCAATTCACCTACATGGCGACATACCAGGCGGACCAAACTACATCGATGGTTCGGATAACCATCTCAACATTATCAGGGGAAAACAAACATAAATACACCAACGTTAGCTGAAATACAGCTGTGCTCTCCCGTGACATCTGGCCTACACTTCGAACAACAAGGAACGACGTTGATACGGTCCAAACACGGTAGCGACTGTTGGAGGGAGGTCGTCAGAGATATGCACGTTCACTGACATCCGGTTAACGCCACAATGGATGCCCTCCCATATTGTGCGACTACACACAGAGAAAACTCAAAGAACTACCAGTATTCTCTGCTACAGGTACCAACCGGATTTGTCGGTCTCAGCGGGGGCCTTCTCTCCATTGCCGAGCGGACTCCGGCTCCTCCCACCCACCGGCAACAACCCCTGCTGCTGCTCGGCACCCTGGTAAGCGCGCCGACTACAACCACAAATGCCCACGCTGCCCCCCCTACATCTGCAAGCGCGTTGGCGGAGATCTGTGATGACTGTGCAGCTCCCCCCTTCATGTGGAGAATGGCCCAACCGAAAAGTCCTGCGCTCCGCCCCCTTCGTCTAGAGGCGCGGAGGTGAAGAAAAGTTGCCCTCCCCTACAACTGGAGGGCGTTGACCCGCCTTGCCCCCCTCTACATCTGGAGGCGCGCCGGTGAAGAAAAGTTGCCCTCCCCTACAACTGGAGGGCGTTGACCCGCCTTGCCCCCCTCTACATCTGGAGGCGCGCCGGTGAAGAAAAGTTGCCCTCCCCTACATCTGGAGCGCGTGGACCCGCGTCGCTCCCCCTACATCTGGGGGCGCGCTGGTGAAGAAAGTTGCCCTCCCCTACGCCTGGAGAGCGTGGACCCGCGCCGCCCCCCCTGCGTCTGGAGGCGCGCCGGTGAAGAACCGCTGCCCTCCCCTACATCTGGAGAGCGTTGACCTGTGCTGCCCTCTATACATCTGGAGAGCACACCTACGGAAATTTGCGCTACACCCCCTTCTAGACTTGAGTGGGTTGGCGCTGTTGGCAAAGCGCTGTAAAACACGCCACCCCAAATATAGCCCCCATAGTATGCGCTACCAAAGACGTGTGACGCATGGATGAGTGGAGTGAGGATAGCTTACGGAAACCTCACAGGTTGAGTGATGTAGGAGATT